TGATCACCACTTCCTTGCAAGGCACCATCCTGTGTGATGCCAAGGCTAAAGGAGGGTATATCAGCCACCATCTGCTTGAACTTCCTCCTCGCCAACTCTGCCTCCTCTGATGCAACCAACTTAGAGATATTTGAAGGATCGCTCCAAATGAACTCATCATAAGACACTTCAGAAAATGCACATTCCGCAGGCTGCACACCATCTTTTGGATTTTTATTCACTAATCCCAGTAACCTTCCAGCAGCAATCTGCAATTCCACATAAACATCGTTCTTCATCGCCTCAGCTGGTGCACCCTCCATTAACGACACTCACTCCACGACTGTCTTTGCCAGCATCTTACCATTTTCTGCAAACTTTTTAAGAAAAACCTGATGCATAATGAATCATAATATAAGAAAGTATGTGCATTATCAATAAAAATAAAGGGCATGTTCAGTGCATTTTCACTGTAACATCTAACTTGCTACCTTCAACACATCACCATCCTCATCTCGCATCTCAGTCTGCTGAATGCCTTCTCTCATAATAGAATCTTTCTCTCCTCAAACCTCAATGCCTTCTTCCCCCTTTGCATTGTCATCCACGTTGTTTTCCTCAGCTACAGATTTCTCACACACATACCTTCCATCGTCAAATCCCAAACCAAACCCACCACCCTTCACTTCTTTATTCTCTCTATCCCTAAGTATCTTTGATTTCCAGCCAACAAAAGCAGGTGTTGTCCTCTCCACATCCCTATTGTAAAGAACCACCCTATCGACATAGAAAACCTACAACGTAGAGAAAAAAATAAGCTACATGCAAAACAAATTCAATAAAATATGTATACAAATTTAGTATAGTGCAGGTGAACCATACAATCAGAAACATCAATGGTCCTGTGAAGTATTTACTCTTTCCATCCTCCCATCTGATTGCACTGTCTATCAATGTCCTATGCACATATTCACACCAATTAAATCTCACTACTGAATCAATGTTAGCTATGTTCTTCAACATAGCAGGGTTAACGTAACCATGGCTTGGAGTATCTATGAGAAGTGCCACTACCAACAACACAAAATGGCGAACAAACCACACCCCACCCTCCTCGTATGTCAACAGCTTCTGACCCAACTCCAACGGCGTTATCCTATTATCCTTCTTGCCAAATTCTGCTCTCCACTTCTCAACCAAGCTACATTTCTCACTCCTTGCTTTGTTACTTATCTTAATATTTCCCCTCGGCAAGCCCAACACATGCTCAACATCTTCTATGCTCATATGCAATCTGACATGCTTTGGAAGCTCAAGTGTGCTACTCTTTAGATTAAAATTCTTTATCACCCAATACCCCAATTTGGCAGGCAGCTCTGTCAACCGTAACCTCAGAATAGAACCGAAACCAATCGTTTCTATCTCCTGCTTTTGGATCTTATTCAGAGCATCCAACACTCCCTGCAACACATGTGGTGAAGATCTCGTCTTCCTCATGTACTTTTCCTTCATCTTCCGAAGCCCGTCCTTCCTTTTCTTCACCACTATTGCAACTTTTGAATTCACAAGTTGAGGGATATCCACACTCATATTCTTCTTTGGGGGTTCCTCAAAATCATCGTCACTATCAGAACTATCACCCTCATGCTCAGGATCTTCAGCATCATTTCCAGCACAATCCATAACCTCATCGTCATCCTTATCCTCTTTCTCTACGTCACCAGCATCTTTGGACCCATCATACTTTTCTTCACCTAAATCCACATGTTCAGCATCCCGCTTAAGTTGTACCAGCATCAACCTACCACTTCTACGCACGGGAGATGCACTTTTAATAAATTCTGCTTTCCTTTTCAAGGCAAACACCCCACCAGCACGCGCATTTGACTGTGGTGAGCCTACATTTCACATGAAAGATTAAGTATTGCACACCTATCTCTTAAAATTTCCAACAAAGTAAGCAACAACTAAACATGGAATACATATTCATCAAATCACCCCATCCAACTGAAGGATACATGACAATGTTATTTTTTTTTGTGAAATTCAACACAATATGATACCACATTAAACAAAAAATAGCTAAATAAGATAATGCTAAACTTTCTACTTAACATGCAACTTAGGTACACTATAATGTGCCATAACCATGAAGTTAAAGAAGCAGTTGAGAAGACTTAAAATGCATATGATTCTTGATGATATGCATCAGTACAAGAAATCTAATGCACTGTCATAGTATTCCCATGTACATCTCTCTGTTACTTATTCATTTCAAAGAAAAGAAATAATTCCTGGCCAGTATGCATACTACAGAATAGAACTACCCCAACTACAAAACATGCAAATCCAGTACATTATGATGTTTGTCTACTAACTACAAAATATGCAATAATACTTCACTAAAATGAACCATATCTGCTAATGAAAAACACCGGCATTATTCTTTATTCTTCAAAAGAGGAACAACAATCGTATGACAACATATTATTCTTCAAAACCAACTAACACATCTACCAACATATCAAGCTGCACAGTACCAAAAAAACAATTGCTAAAATCAATATGCTAAAAAATATTGAGACCAGAAATATAAACAGAATATTTACCATATAATCCTTACACACACACAGAGGCACCAATTCATAACAACACACTACAGAATTACAACTGCAATGTGATACCATACAATAAAAAACACATCATGCATCAACCAAAAAACTACTTCAACTAACATCCATTCTGAAATCATTTTTCTATGCAATACAACTACAATTTTCACCCCCTTAAATAATCAAATTTAAATAACTATGACCTAATATGCAATGAAGAGGTCCCAAGAACACATATTACTTGTATATTCTTCACATTTAAAAATCAATTCTTCACACGTGCACACAAAATAGTTTAATGCTAGAACACAAATATACTCATACCCAAAATCATTTTTTTCCCAGACTAAATCCCTACACCCAAATTCCAAAATCTGTTTCATGAAAGTCAAGACAATTACACTTTTTTTATAAAATGAAGCACATTACCACTGCACTTAATATGTCAAAACCAATCCATACTGCAAATCAGAAAAAGTAATTACAGATGCACCCAAAACTCGCAGAGAAGAATGTCGAAGACCCTTTCGAAATTAAAACTACAGATGCATTAATCAACGGCATGCAATACAACCAAAACCCCAAATCAAATAGACCCTTTCGAAATTAAAAAACGCATACCTTCCACCATCATCGCTGATTTCCCCGCAGTAGTCATGCCTGAGAATGCAATTTCTAACAGCCTCCCCCTTCACGAGGTCTCCTTCTTCTTAAGGCGTGCACTACAACTTTCTCTCACTTACCAATTTCACTTTGGACGAAGCTCTGAAGAATGCAGCACCGGTGGAAGAAAAGGGTTATGGAAGAAAGAAAAAGACTTCTATTCAAGGCAAAATGCGTAAGTGGCGGGATATTAAAGATCTGCACCTTTTTTATGCTTATTAATGTACTTCTCCATTTCTAGAAATGCCCTTCCACGTGTCTATCTCATTTAACATACCCAATAACAATTCCCCTTTCCTTTTATAAAATAATTTATGTTGCATATTGGAGACCGCACGATGGAGTAAATCTAATGGATCTAGATCATTCTCATTTCTTTCACAGCAACTCATTCTCACTTGATCCCTCCCCATATATATATATATATATATATATATATATATATATATATATATATATATATATATATATATATATATATATATATATATATATATATATATATATATATATATATATATGATACAGGGTACGGGGATGACGCCCACACACAGCCCACGGCTGGGGGACGTCCGCGGAGAAACGTCGGGCCACCCCTACGTTATCGTGACTATGTTTAATATTCTTATTCCGTTATTTTCTAATTAAATGTATTTTAGATTTTTATTAGGAGAGCGAATTATAAGCTCCTTCGAGGGTTTCTTTTCGGTTCTTTACCTCGATGCCTTTTTTTTGAACCGATGGGATAGATAATTTAGTAATTAGGTTTTGGGGAGAACTTCACTATAAATATGATCCTTATGTAACCAAAAGGTCATAAATAAGAATTATCTCTCTCTCTCTCTCTCCAAGAAACTCTCTCCGTCTCTTTCTCTCTTTCCCTCAAACAAAACCCTACGATGTCTCCTTCTTGGACGGCTCTTTGATCGGCCACAAGGTTGGTTATATCAATTGGTGCTTTCTTGATCGTTCTCATGTCTTCTGCTGACCAGCCTCACTCCTCCTTGACGTTAACCGACGTCATGCATGCTATCGAAGAATTGGACATAGACTTGCAGGACACAAAGTCCCATCTGGCAGATTTGGCAGCAGCTCGCCGCCCACCCATAGCGGACAATCAGCGGCCTATGTTTCACGCCAACCCTGGTTGGCGTCCCGGACTATGCCCCCGACTTTGGATCCGGCCCCGCGCATGCGCGTGGATGCACCTCGGTTCTCGGGCGAAGACCCTACCTATTGGATATTTTGGGTTCAAAAATACTTTGATTACTTCCTCACACCGGAACCGGAACGTTGGCATTTGGTTGCGATGTTGATCGGCCATCCGGCGTCGGAATGGTTTCACTACTATCAAGCCAATAACCCTACGGCAACCTGGTCGGAATTCTTGGAAGCCGTCCAACAGCGGTTTGATCCGACTTATTATGAGAACTATGTGGGGCTTTTATCCAAGCTGACGCAAAATTCTACGGTGCTCGCCTATCAAACGGAATTTGAAACACTCCTCAACAAAGTCTCCGACATTCCTGAGCACACTCTTGTCGCGATGTATATCGCCGACCTCAAACAACATATTCAACGGGAGGTCAATCTTCACAATCCTACGACGTTGCCCCTCGCGTTTGCCCTAGCACGCAAACTCTCGACATGCCATATAGAGGCTGCAGGTTCGTCTGTTCGGGATGTGCGACGCCCATGGTCTCCTCGGCCGTCACCTCCCTCTACGGCAGGTTTACTTCCCACTCTGGTGCCGTCCGGCAAGCCTCCCCCCACGGCAACAGCGGGTCGAAACAGCAACCCCGCCTCCAAACTTCTCATCGTTCGTCTCACGAATGCTGAGAAAATGGAGCGTAACAAAAAAGGACTATGTTGGTATTGTGATGACAAGTGGGTACCGGGCCATAGTTGCAAACATCGTTTCTTGCTTTTAATGGGCCCCGATGAGGACGAGGTTTCCCGGGAGGATAGTGGTGGCCTACTCACCGACGACGACACAATCACAACGGACATCTCTAGCCTTCATTCACTGGCGGGCAATCCAAATCCTCGAGCATTAAAACTGGCCGGCATGTTGCATGGTTCGGCCGTCCAGGTGCTGTTAGATAGTAGGAGTACCCATAATTTCGTTCATCCGGGGGTGGCCGAAGGTCTTCACTTAAATCTCCAGCCCATTCCCCCGTTCTGGGTATATGTGGGCAATGGTGATTCACTACGTTGTTTGCATTCGTGCCCCTAGACCCCCTCTCCTTGCAAGGCAATCTGTTTAATGTTGATCTTTACCTAATGGAAATGCATGGGACAAACATCGTTCTCGGTGTGCAATGGTTACAAACCCTCGGGAAGGTTTCCCACGACTATGCTCAAATGACAATGGATTTCACACTAGATGGGCGGGCGGTTACTCTACGCGGGGATGTCCTTCCTCCTCGGACTATTTCGTTCAACCACTTTTGCACGTTATTGGCTTCACCGGGTGGTTGGGACCTTTTTGAATTGGTGAGCTCGCCACTGGAACAGAAGCAACCTGTAGAGATAGCCCTCACGCTGCCTGATGACATGCCGCCACCCCTGCGCTCCATCCTCCTGGACCATGCTACGGTTTTTGGTACCCCTTCCGGCCAACCACCTTCGCGGAGCTGGGATCATCACATTCACTTGGGGGCAGCTATCCCTATTTTCAAAAGGCAGATATTGAGTGTCAAGTTCGGGACATGTTACTCCAGGGGATAATCTGGCCGAGCCAAAGTCCCTTTTCTTCCCCAGTCTTGTTGGTTCGAAAAAAAGATGGGACCTATCGCTTTTGTGTCGACTACCGGGCTCTTAATGCGGCAACAATTCCGGATCACTTCTAAATTCCTACATCGGATGAACTCTTTGATGAATTGGGTCATGCTCGTATTTTCACTAAGCTTGACCTATGTTCGGGATACCATCAAATACGTATGCATGCTACAGATGTGTTCAAAACTGCCTTTCACACCCACGAAGGACATTACGAATTCCTCGTCATTCCCTTCGAGCTCACCAATGCCCCCTCCACCTTTGAGGCGGCAATGAACAGTCTCTTCCTCGATCACCTCCGCCGGTTTGTTATTGTTTTCTTCGACGACATTCTCGTCTACATTCCTTCTTTGGCAGACCATGCAAATCATTTAAAGGCTATTTTGGGTATTCTGCATGATCATTCTTTCTACGTCAAGATGAGTAAATGTGATTTTGGAAAATCAAAAATATCCTATTTGAGTCATATATTGACGGCAGGACAATTGTGGGCGGATCCGGACAAAATCGCGGCCATGGTCTCCTGGCCGACACCTCGCACAGTGAAGCAATTACGGGGATTCCTTGGGTTGACTGGCAATTATCGCCGTTTCATCGCCGGGTATGCAGTCATCGCTTCTCCATTGACGAACCTGTTAAAAAAGGATAGCTTTCATTGGGATTGCGCCGCCGAGGAGAGTTTCCCCTTCTCAAACAAGCCATGACATCGGCTCCTGTTCTATGGCTACCGAACTTCACACAAACATTCTATGTGGAGACAGATGCCTCTGACTTCGGCATTGGTGCCATTTTACTTCAACACGGCCACCCCTTGGCGTTTTTCAGTAAGAAATTAGGGCCTCGCCGACAGGCCGCTTCTACCTATCATGAGGAATTGTACGCCATCGTGGAGGCCATTCAAAAGTGGCATCAATACTTGTTGGGCCGGGAGTTTGTTATTCGGAGCAATCAACGGAGTCTCAAGGAATTAATGTTGCAGGTTATTCAGACGCCAGATCAGCAATTTTACATTCGCAAGTTGATGGGGTTTAAGTTCCGGATCGAATATAAGTCTGGCTCCTCTAACCGGGTGGCGGATGCGTTGTCACGGCGGGACGAAGATGATCCAGCAGCCTTGTTCGTAGCGTGCACCCAGCCCTATCCCACCCTACTAGACACTCTGCGCACTGAGAACATTACACTGCCCGAATTATAGCGCCTACAGGAGGCCGTGGCCGCCGGCAGCGCTCCTACTCACATCACGTTCCATGACGGTCTTTTGTACTACAAACGCCGTATCTATGTCAGCCGGGATTCGACATGGCGTGAGAAAATCCTCCAGGAGTTCTACAGCACTCCCACCGCCGGACACCAGGGGGTGGACCACACCTTTCGCCGTATTGCTGATGTGTTTTATTGGCCCGCCCTACGCAGTGATGTTCGTCAATTCGTGGCCTCTTGTGCTACCTGCCAAGTGACGAAGTATTCGACCCAGAAGCCGGCTGGGTTACTGCAGCCGCTACCCATTCCAGACATGGTTTGGAACTCCGCTTCTATGGATTTTATTACGGGGTTACCGTCGTCTCAAGGGTTCACGGTCATTATGGTGGTGGTTGATCGGTTGAGTAAGTATGCGCACTTTGGCGCCTTACCCCCACAGTTTGAAGCTCAATGTGCTTCCCGGGTATTCATCGACAGGGATTCCGTCTTCATGAGCGCGTTTTGGAAGGAATCCATGCATCTAAGCGGTACTACACTGAATTTTTCAACGTCTTACCACCCACAGACGGATGGCCAAACTGAGGTCCTTAACCGAAGCCTCGAGCAATACCTACAGGCCTTCACGCCGAATAGCCGTCCCGCTGGTTTGGCTTTCTTCCTTGGGCTAAACTCGCTCTCAATTGTATTACCCATGAAGGGTTGGGTGTCTCGTCGTACCAGGTTCTCTACGGATGCGAACCCCCGTCTATTTTCCCTACTCTCTCTATTCGTGCTCGGGTTCCGGAAGTGGAGGAGGTCTTGCGTGAGCGAGCGGAATTGTTAGAGGATTTGAAGGCGAATCTCCAGCGCATGCAGCAGCGCATGCGTGACTGTGCGAACGAGAACCGGCGGGATGTGACGTTTGAAGTCGGCGATCTGGTCCTCCCACGATTACAACCCTAGAGTCAGTATTCGGTTGCCCGCCCTCTCTCAGTGAAGTTAGGCCGACGTTATTACGGACCCTTTGAGATTCTTGAACGTATCAGCGCTGTGGCTTATTGCCTACGTCTTCCATGGGATGTCGTATTCACGACGTCTTCCATGTCTCCTTGCTTCGGCCATTCGTTCAACGTGAAGCAACACCACCGCTGCCATCCTTACCAGATTGCTTCTTCAAAGGCTGGCCACTCTCTGTTCCTCTTGATGCTTTACAAAGCCGTACGGTCCTCGTGGATGGCAGCCCCCAAGAGAAGTGGTTGGTCCGATGGTCTGATGCGCCCGATGGGTCTTTCACTTGGGAACCTACTGGGGACCTCCTACGCCATTTTCTAGATCTCCGCCTTGAGGACAAGGTCGTTGCTAACCCCGGGGGAGTTGATACGGGGTACGAGGATGACGCCCACACAGAGCCCACGGCTGGGGGACGTCCGCGGAGAAACATCGGGCCACCCCGACGTTATCGTGACTATGTTTAATATTCTTATTCCGTTATTTTCTAATTAAATGTATTTTAGATTTTTATTAGGAGAGCGAATTATAAGCTTCTTCGAGGGTTTCTTTTCTAATTTTATATATATATATATATATATATATATATATATATATATATATATATATATATATATATATATATATATATATATATATATATATATATATATATATATATATATATATATATATATATATATATATATATATATATATATATATATATATATATATATATATATATATATATATATATATATATATA